GTGGTCACAGAGGTAATATTTAGAGCTTAGGGATTTGAACAAAGGTCTGTCTGAATCCACACCCTGTGTCCTCTGGCACGTAGACTTAGTTAAATAGGGCAGGCAGGTAATTGAGGAGAAACTATTCAAAAATGTCAACCATTCACAAGAGGCTAGAATCATGAGGGATAAGCCATATAGTGCATAAAAAATGATAGCTTTTTTGGGAATGGAATTTTTAAAGGAGCAAAATTTTAAATGCTTTAATGCTTTAACTTTGCTCCAATATTAGAGTTTTATTGGAATATTAGTCACACATCATGTTGAAAATGCTGGAAAAAGAGTTACCATGGACTGAAAACGATTGAAAGAGTGTATCAAGGGCCAAATGGGGACAAGTAAGGAGAGGAGAGGAGGGGGAATGGGAGGTAGGTGTGTGTGTGTGTGTGTGTGTGTGTGTGTGTGTGTGTGTGTGTGTAAGAGACGGAGAGACGGAGGGAGGGAAGAAGGGAGGTGAGTGTGTGGTGGAGGAGGAGAGGAAGAGAGTTGCATGCTAACACTAATTCTAAGCTAAGACCGTTTCCATGGCTAGAAGATGAACAGATATGATATTTGTAGCAGGGAGAACAACTCTCCACCCACTCCCATACTCCACCCAGGTTGGATCTGAATAGGGCTTTTTGTCCATCTCTAGCCTATCTTCCACAAAACAGCTAGAGTAATATTTCTTAAACATAAATTCAATTATTTAATGGCTCTGCTTAAAATCCTCTGTGGATTCCCACTGCACTCAGAATAAAACCCAAACTCTTATTATAACCTACCAATCCCTACATAATCCGTCCCTGCACACCTCTAACTCCGTTCTCTGCACCACAACACTCTGACTTCTCTACTCCCATAAGCTGAGCTTTCTTGCCCAGGCCTTTGTACATGCTACTCCTTTTGAGAGAATATTCTTCCCAACACACTTCAAAAAGGCCCTCCCCAACCACCCTATCTTAGGTGACTTTGCCTTGTTGTCTATCGTTTCACCATTTTATTCTCTTCATAGTGCTAATGGTAAGTGTAATTATGCATCTTGTTTGTTCATTTGTTTTGTGTCTTTTTCACTAGATTGTAAGCTTTATGAGGGCAGGAACCATATCTGCTTGCTATGTCTAGTGACAAGGGACTTAGGTCTCCTTACAGTGTTCAGGGTGGAGAAGACCCTACTTCAGAATGGATCTTATCAGAGATAAGAAAAGCAGTCAGTGCTTGCAGTGGTTTGATGAGGTCTTCATATAATCAGATGTGACTAGGGGAGGGGGTCAGTGAGCTCTTTTGCAATAAAAAGGAGTATTACTAGTAATTGTCTCTTTAAAAAGGTGTGTAGGCACAGTTTTGGAGTAGAAGGATGAACATGGGGGAACTACTGTACTCTGCTTGCCATTGAAGGCAGGGTTAAATTGAGGTAAATGGACTTTGAAAATTGAGGTGTGGTCTCTAAACATTGAACACTGTTGTTCAATGGGAGGGCTATATGTGTGTGGAAGAAAGTGTATGTGTGTGAGTTTCTGCGTGTATGAGTCTGTGTACACGAACACAGACACATGTGGGATTTAAGAGCTGCCCACTGGATAACCAGAAGAAAGAGAAGCACGATTGTTCTCTCACAGATGGAGAGATTCTGAAGAGAGCTGGCCTAGGAGACTCTGAGCTTCCCCCACAGCCTCCCCTCCAGTACCCACCCACACTCACCCCCTCCACACACACCCTTTGAGCATTCTATCCTGAGTAACTCAGGCTCTGGGAAATGCGGTACTGAAGACTTGGGTCTGTATGTTGTATCAACTGGGATGGATCCTAGAGGACTTTCGAAAGCAGAGTGAGACCTGGCATTGACTTGAAGTGGCAGCCTCCAACAGGGAAAGGCAGACTTCAGGCAGAGTCAATTCTAGAAACTGGCAGTTCTCCCTGAAAATGTTTCTTTTTTTTTTTTCCCCCAAGATTTTATTTATTTATTTATTTATTTGAGAGAGACCATGAGTAGCAGGGGGAGAGCAGAAGGGGGAGGGAGAGGGAGGAGTGGAAAGAATCTCAAGTAGACTCCATGCTGAGCATGGAGCCCAACACTGGGCTCGATCTCACGACCTTGAGATCATGACCTGAGCTGAAGCCAAGAGTCAGAGGCTTAACCGACTGAGCCACCCAGGCGCCCCAAGAATGATTCATTTTTTAGTCGTGCTACTGTTTTGTTTGGATTGTGAGAATAGTCTGGTATACTAATACAGTGTAAAATATTTTCTCTCATTTTATAAATCCCTCAGTTAGCCCCCAGTCCTCATCCGTTATTTGCACATGGTCTTATGAAAGTGGTATTATGGGGAAGAAGGGATGCGACCTTCCTCATGTCCTTATTATACTGAGCCCAGTATGATAGCAGCAGTTTTCCACTGAGAAGGGGGCCTGAAGTTCAGACCTTTGCAGGAAAGTGAGTAGTTTTGGGGTGGGGGTGCTGTGAGCTGTGCATGGATGGGGAACTTAGCTTGGAGAAACAGCAGTTGCTTAGGCAGTGGATGAGAGGTAAGACCTCTTATCTCCACAAATACACTAGAGCAATATATGTGACCCTTCCTTTGCCACCATGTGTCCCACTGATCACGAGCATCACCCAGCGTCCTTGTTACAAATACCAGTTCTCTGGCTCCACTCCTCACGTCTGGGCTGTGGCCTGGGAACCAGGATATTTTCCAAACATCCAAGTGAATCTTCTGATCAGGGAAGTGTGGAACTCAGTGCCCCAAGGCTAGGGGACTCTTGCAGGGGTGGAGGGAGGCTAACATTGGGGTCACTCATTATTGACCCTGCTTCAGAGAGGATGTGTAGAAAAAGAGTGGTGGAAAAGCCTTCCTAGGAGAGAAGACTGTACCACCTCACTGAAAACAGTAAGAGAAGAACCAGGCTTTCAATGGGCTCTACTTCTTTATTTATAAACCAGTCTTCCAACCTTTCTGAACTTCTTAGACAACACCAATTCATCTCAAATTGTATAATCTGCTATCCTGGCAAAACTGACAAGTCCTAATTTTCATTCGTGAATGTTGGTTCTAATTACTTTACTTAACCTGGAGAGCAAGAACCATTGCAGCAGTGGGGGTGGGCAGGGGTAGGCCTGCAGATTTTTTTAAAAAGCAGTTTTACTTTCAGAAGGATAGAGTATAAAGTTACCCCTTAGAACAGATCATACTGAGATTGTCCTATTGTATGGCAAACTTGCTCCTTTATTATTATTTTTTAAATCACTGTATCCATATCCTTTCTTCCCCAATAACCAAAGTAGCACAAAATTAATCAAAAAACAAAAGTGATAACACAAGTGCCTCTGTAATCCTGTAGCTTTCACACAACTTTTAATTGGGAGTGTGTGAAAATATATATATACATTAGTACACACACATACACACACATATTGAGAGACTGCTGATAATGATCTAAAATAGTGGAGTTCTTCTAGTCCAACATTTACACTACATATAACACTGCAACATACTGCCATGCTTTAAATGGCAGCAGAGGCAAATTTTTCACTAATTACACATTTTAGGACAGCAACTCTGTGTAGGTCTTACAGTGTCTGGGGACATTTTTGATATAAATAGGTCAATGTGGTCTGATTTAAGTGAAGCTTATGGATTTAAAAAAAAAAAAAGGAAAGAAACCTTCAGATCCTCATTACCAGTCCTCATCATCTCTCTTAGCATTTTAGAATGACAAATATATACCTTGTAAAAATGGTCGATTCTTTATCCCATGTGAGTTACTAGAGGGTATCGCCTGCACAATCAATCCAAAGCATGTACTGAAGCTCCACTATTTAAGACTAGAAAATGTTTTGAACAAGAAATGATCCAGTTGCCATGGGAAGACAGAGCATGTTGATGCAGTGGGCTCTGTAGGCTGACGAAGTTCAGTGTTTATGCTGTGGGCCATTTGTTTTTAAAATTAAATTAAAATTCTTACTCTGAAGAAGCTGTAGTTTATTTGCTTTGTTTTGTTTTTAGGGGGAGCTTGATTTCTTCCATATTCCAAGTCTGTGCTCACATGTATGCCTCATTTCATGGACAAAGCCCCCAAGTTCAGTGCTTGGGTGACCACAGTATCGTGGCTCCCAGGATCACTAAGCTCCCAGCAGCGATGTAACTTGAATGTCTACAATTTTTAATAAAAACCCACATCCTGGAATTCTAATGCAAAGTATTATGTTAACATAGAACAACTAATTATCAGAGACCTGTAACATTCATGGAGCATATAACAACATATATATTAGCAATTCAGTCACTTAGGTTTTGCAACCTAATGTGAGTGAGCAAACATCTGACATCTGGGAGCCTTAACAGAATTCTGCACTAAAATTATAAGACTATGAAACTGAATAAAGGAACATGCTTAACATGACTGCTAGGAGTTATTACTGCAGAAAACAGAACTAAGTGACTATTTTCCATATGCTTCATTTCCACTAATGGAAAGTATAAATATAAAATAAAAACTTCTTGCTGTCTCTTAGGGCGTGTCGCTTAGTAACAGCAATTATCACAAAGAATTCCACAACAGTAGGGGTATTATGACTATAACGTAGATAGAAAAAAAAACCCAAGAGGCAAAAATACATTACAGTCTGCATCATAACACGTATTTGTCTTGCTATTAAAAGTTAAACTCTTCCAAAACTTCTCCATGATGACTTAATTCATCAATTAATATGATTTTCATTTGTTAAAGTGAAAATAAAACATTTAGCATATTTTGCCTCCAGTTTTAGGAATGTTATACATTAAATCTAAATTGACTTTTTTTTTTAATTTGGTATTTCCACTTTATCTTTTAAATATGGAGAATATCTTCTGAGTAGCTCAGACTTAATTTTGCCAGTTTCTGCTAGCTCAGTTGGTTTCACGGTTTTGAAAGAGAAATGAAGTACAAGAGTCCATATCCAGCACCCACTGTGAGGCAACCTCAGATAAGTTCTGCCTCAGGTGTCCCACAGAGTGAAATGAACTGATCCACCTTGAAGAGGTCCGCTCCAATTTGTCAGGTGGTTTGTGTGAAATTCTGCCCCTCGAGGTTTGCACACATTTCTCTGAGTCAGCATCAACTCCTACATTCACAAATGAAAAGCATCATGAATGGAACAAGAAATGAGGGGTGAAGGAGGAGAAACAGGTCTAATTGGTTGCAAAAGAAAGGGGTTATTTCTTTCATGAAGCAGCTGGTTCATGTGACACTTCCTGCAAGGGAAAACCTAGGCTGCTGCAGCATTCAGGAATTCTTCCATCTTCTTCATGAGGAAAGGTTTGAGAAAGTGGACCTTTGAGAGGAAATACTACAGACTTCCAAATTGGTGAAAGAACTTCCAGCATCACTTGGATACTCCGGGTAGGAGGAACTGGAGGAGATGATATTTTTGAGCCTCTGGAGGGCAATTATTAAAAGCAGAAGCAGAAATGCTAAAAGGCTGAGGAATATGGACACATAGATGTAGACATTTGACAGGTGGCCTGAGGAAGGGTCCACTGATGTGGACAGGGATGTGGGAAATAGCTCAAGGAAAGTTCCATTCTCCACGTTACCCGAAAATACAGATGAAGAGTCAGGTTCAGACATCTTTATGGAGGGTCAAAGAATGCACAAGTATGTTAAAAGTCAGTTTCACACAGGGGTTAAAAAGGACAGAATCAGCATTTTTTTTTTTTTTTTATGATAGCATCAGCAAAGATTGTAGGCAGTTAAATCAGCACAACAAAACTTCTTGGTTTTCAAAGGCAGCAGGGGATCAGGTGTCCCTTGGCACTGCAAAAACAAACAAACAACAAAAAAACAGCTGAGTGCATTATTCGCAAAATAACACATTTAAATCTCATTTCTAGTTTTCACTTCAAGAAGGGAAGGGAACAGAATTACTTTTCCAGAAATAGATAATGTTTATATCATTATATTACAAATGATGATATAAAAATGAACTTTTATTTTACCTCCACAGTACCTAAGGTGCCAGGCTTCTCCAAGGAACTAAAATAAATAAAAAGGAAAACACAATTTTGATGTGCTCCATCTGCTGTGATTTCAACAGATGCTCCAAGTAGATGCTCTGAGAATAGGACCCAAAAATCAGCGCCAAACCTCCCTTCTCCAGAAAATTAACTCTGCGCACCTCCAGCCCACTAGCACCTTCCCAGCCAGTATTTATCTCTAACCACACTTTTGAAGAATCACGCCGCACATGTAAGTTTGCTTTTTGTTGAACATTTATAATTCAATTTGTTTATAAAAATTCATTTTCTTGAAATGTGGGGCCATTTCTTCATGTTTCTTCTTTTCGATCTACCTGTGTACCTTGTTCTGCATACTTTAGTACTGAACAAAAAACTTCAGATTAATTTAGAAGAAAAAAGGTTGGATTCCTTTTGAATGGTAGAAAGTACAAGGTTTGCTGTCATGAGATGTAATTTTGAAGGAGGCCTGAATTCCCCTTTACCTTTGGGATGTTGGGCAAATGGCCTACATTATTCTGAGTTTCACTTTTCTCATCTGTGAAATGTATAGCACTTGCCCCATCCCCTCTCTGTGTTATTCAGGGATCAAGAAAATAGGCATGGAAGCACTTTGTGAATTATAAAGGGTTGGGCCAAAATAAGGTTATGGTGTGTGTATGTGTGTTAATGGGTGTGGAGAAGGAATAATTTTCTCTCAGCCAGGAGGCAAAGAATACTCTTCACCATATTCTCCCTCCTAATGTGGTCCCTGTGAGGAACACCAGAAGCAAAGCAGACTGACAGGCAGGTAGCAAGCGGGATACCACATGATTCCCCAGGCTCCAAGTGTGGGTGCAGTGTGTCTCAGACACCCTCTCCTCCATCACTGGAAAAGTCACAGCCAGTTTCTGCCTGGGCCTCCAGCCCACAAAGTCCACACGGGGGCGAGGAATGCAGCCTGAGGGAGGATGATCCCTCCGGGCAGATGACTCTTCCAAGTCCAGAAAAGATGCTCTTCCTAGCTCCTTATGGCATTCAATCCATTTGTTGTAAAATTTTATATCTCCTTGTGTCAGATGTAGTAAAATGCTAATGTGAAAAGATCCACTCTGCCCCTGGCTTTCCCTTTTCCTAAACTCTGCCCTGCATTTTACCTTGAAAACTTGCCTTTCCCTTCTGTTCTCCAGATCTAATTAAGTGGCTGATTCTTTGAGGGGCTGACACTGGCCGCTGTGGTCTGAGCTGAGCAGCATTAATGATCCCTGGGAAGGAGGGGACACTTCTGAGATGGCTGTCCCTGCTGGGTGTCATGCAGGCTAATGATCTTAGTGAATTCCTCTGAGTAGGCCACATACAGTGTCTTAGTAGTTCCTAAAATAATTTGACTCCTACTCCTCATTATGCTTTGCTTGGTGATTTTAATTCCATTAGGCTGCTACAGGCTCCTAACGATCCTTAAAAAAAAGAGAGAGAGAATCACAGTGGGACTCAAATGTGTCACACTGATTTGGCAATCCCTTGCCTTTTTATAGCATGTAAATGTCTCAGCCATTCATCTTTAGGGAAAATAGAGTTTCAGAGGCAGCATGATGTATAGGAGAGAAAACTAGGATGGAAACCTTATGGGCTGAATAGAAAGAAATATTCTTTATTCTGGAAAGACCTCCTAAGTCTAGCTGAGGACACTGAGAGACAAAGAAGCTAACTGATTTGACAAAAGAAATATCTTATTAGAAGATAGCCCAGGACTTTGGGCTTCTGCTCATCCTAACTCCTTGTACCGTCTGGTCTCAATTTTCCTATCATTTGAGTAGTAAGGATTTTACATCCTCTTTTCCTAGCATGGGTGAAGAAGGGACTATGCATTTTGTGTGTTCCTCACAGCTCCTTGGTGGAGCAGGAATTATTATTCTCACTTGAGGAAACTGAGCCACAAAGACATGATTTACTCAGGGTACACATCTAGACAGTGACAGAGGAGGGACTAGACTCCACGCCTGAACTGTGTTCTTAGTTTTGTCAACTGTAATGGGAAGAGGAAAATTACGAAGACTTGCGTCATTAGTTCCTATCTGCTACTTACTCTGGGCTAGCTCACAGTTTAGTCTTGATTTTTCAGTCTTCCCATTTATGCAATAACACTTACCTTTCCTACCTCGCTAAGAGGTCCTGAGCTAGGCTATAAGAACATTTCCATAAGCATCCTTAGAAAATTATAAAAGGCCATCCCAGTAGACAGCTCCTTCTGAACGCTTAGAAAGGCTTGAGGAACTTTCCAAGTCTCTGCTAGTCCTACAGTTCTGGCATGTGCAGGTCACAGATTCAGCTGGAATTGGATTCACTACCCAAATCTGTCATTTTCTGGGGGTGTGGCTGGAGGCACAGACAGTGTCACGAGAGTATCAGCAATTTAGTGGCAGAACTCACAACTGGCTACCAGACGCCTTGTTAAAACAAAGGCATTTCTTTACATGTAAATATTCCGAGAATACTTTTCATATCCTGAGGATCTCCTTCTTTCAAACAAAAGGCCCACTGTTGAGCCTCAGTGGTCTATGGAAATGAGACTTAGGTAGATTTGGGGAAAGCATCTGATCTTCCAAGTGGTCTTGGAAGAATGGTGGAAATGAACAAATGAAAGCTCGTGTCATTATTTGACATTTCTCAGTTAAATATTTTCTTCTTTAAATATTCTCCTCCCAGTATTTCAGATTTAATATCATTTCCAGAATATGTTGTAATTCTAAATGACAGATACGCAAATTTCATTTCACTGTTCTACTTTGAAACAACAGAATATATGCACTGTTAGAGATCATTTTAATTTGATGCCATTGATTCTCACTTTCTTACTGAATTTTTAAAAACTGATAAATCCTCTTTCTCTCTGCTGAACGTTTTGACAGTCTGTATAATGTTCAGGATGAGGCCAGTTGTACGTGTTCAGGACTTGTGACCATGTGAATGGGGCCAAAAATGGCGCAGTGAAAATGAAATCAAACAAGTATGTTTCAAGATGATGCTTCTTGGGCTGTTTCTCCAAACAGATTAGGTTTGAAGAAAAGAAGAGAGAGACTTCACCTTAAATGCATAGCCTTGACCTGTGTCAGGGCAGCACCAGAGTACTGCCATTTCGATGGCACCTAAAACCACATGGGCATGATGATGCTTTTTTCTGAGCCATCCTCCGAAAGTGATTTTTGAGAAAGGAAAATGAGACAGCTGGATCACAACATTATAAATGAAGATCTGTGTAAATGTTGTGGTTCACGGTCAGCTGCTTTCCCTTTGTCTCTCGGAATAAAAACCCATGCTGGGAAGAAATCTACAAAAGGCAGGCACTGAAGTGAGGAAGAGTGGACATGGAAGGTCTCCATGAGCCCAGTGAGGTGGGGAGATGAAGAGACAGTTTAGAGGCAAACCTGGGGGTCTCTGATTCCACGACACTCTGCGCCATGCCTGAGAATGGAAGCTTTCCTTCCCATGGGGTGATGATGAGAACTGTAAAGCTTTAGAAGAACAAAAGCGTACTCTCTGACGTGTACCTTCATGCCTGGTAAAAGGAAAAAGAGCTGACAGACCCCCATCTCTGAGTCTGCTCACACAGGCACTGCAAGACCTCTGGTGGCCAGTGAGTGCGTGGGGCCTATGCCATGGCTTTGTCGTCTGTAAAATAATGGTGTATGAAACTAAGCCTACAGTCAGCCTCAAATCTGGCACAGCAATTTCTGACTTTGACCTTTTTTCAAATACGTGTCTATGTGAATAACAACTATCTGAAAGGTTTTTTTTGTTGTGGAAAACTGGGATAAGCCGCTTTGTTGCCTTGTGCCCTGGCTGTTAGGATGTCGAATCAACATTTTATCATTATCAAGTCCTGCTGTCATTCTCCAAAAGGCTGTCCTCCCAAACCATTAGTAATGATTTGACAGATAAAGTATTAATATGACATGGTAAAATGCTTGTTTCTGTCTACAAATATAAAATTTGATATTATAATGATATATTGGATCTCTTTCTCTGTAGGACACGTAGAGATTACCATTTCCAAAATCTAGTAGGGACCTTATCACATTTAAGTAAAGTTGTTTTTAGTTCTACTTAGAAAATAGTATGCTTTATATGAGATCTCAAGCCACTCCTTTAGCATTTACACAATTACCTTCTCTCTTAATGCTTTTTCTTTGGCTGATGAGAGAAGGTTGGTGCTGACATACATACTTCCCACAATTTCTAAATGTAAATTGTCACTTGCGGTCAATGGCAAACACTTACCCATTGGGCTTGCAATAATGAAAATAAAGTTTATTATCTTATGTGCTATCCTTATTCAAAGATGATTCAGCCATCCATATATTTGAGAACTGCTCTTACTTATCAGTATAATGTTTTAGGAGAGTAGAATTGTATGTGAATTCTGTTTCTGATTCCCTGTAACAGTCCAATAAAAAATAAAATCAAGTAAGGAAATAAACTGAGTCTATCTGTTATTAAATATTGAATTGAGTACCATCTTATGAGAAGACATGCAGAAGATGAAGAGTCTGAATAATACACTGGAAGTCATGGATCTAAACTGGATAATGTAAGACAAAAAATTAAAATTAACACTTCTCTTTACCCACTGTTCACAAATGAATGATCAGAAAATAAGTTCAGAGTTTTTTCATTGTATTTTGGTGAAAATTTTAAAAATGACAAAGTAATAGCTTAGTATCAGCTAAAAAATTATCTTAAAATATTTTAAAAATCCATTTCTAGGATAGGTCATTACGTTGCTTTGGATTCAGACCAGTCTCCTATATCTTTCTACCCTTGTGATGACTTTTGTCTATCTGGATTACCCTCAGGCCCAGTAAAAGATTTCCTTAGCAAAATAACTAAATTATACTCAGAATGCTTTTATGCTAGATCAATTACTTGGTCTTAATTCTTTAAAAATTAGTTATCCACATAAGCTATTAATTCACAAAATATTCAGAATATTCCTTTCTTAATACACAAAATGGTGTACTGAGTGAAGTTAAAAAAAAGTCTCAAACACAAGAAAGTATTTCAAAAGGAGATATGAAAATGACTGGCCATCCATCTTGTACAACCTCAAATGTAACTGTAGATATAACCTCCCTTGCATTTATATATCACTGCTTTTCTGGAAAAATCAAAGTATTAGTCTTAATAAATTTATGTTACATTTATATTCAATGTGAAGATTTTATGTCCAAAACACTGCCTTAGGAAGGATAATTATTTAAGAATAACACTGTTTTAGAATAAGATACTTTAAATGGATGATGTTCTGTTTAAAAAAACAGGTCAAATACAAAGCCAGGTGTAGGCACAGCATTTTCATGATTCTTTTATGATGTTTAGAAAAGACCAGGAAGGGCTCTGTCCTACCTTTTGGGGATATTGGGCCCCTCTTGGCTAACACTATGAGTCTGAATCAAAATGAGAAAAGTATCAACTTGAGGGTTGAAGGAAACACAAGCTGTTTAAGAAGCAGCAGAACAATAAAAATCTCTTTTAGGGAGCGGGAGAAAAGGTCACTGGTTTAAACACTTCATTTAAATAAAAAGCAAATAGCCAGAGAAATAATGACTTGAAGAACATAGGCAAGGTCAAAATGAATCAGTGTGGAAGAAAGAAGGTAAGAAGCAAGACTAGCCTTTCAAGATGTTACAGTATTTTTAGTAAGGGCTTTCAGGTCATTTCCCTCCCTCCACTAGGATCTGATCATTTCCAGTATGTTACAAGTGTAGTAAGAAAAACATTTGTTATTCTTGGAGCAGCTAGAATTGGTTAAATCATAGCACTAGTATACAAAAAATCTTACTTATTTTTAATAAGGCTAGACACATTTTTTAAAAATTCTCATTAAACCCTGCTCAGGTAGAAGAATGGAATGGTGTTTTCTCCTTTTCCATTGTCTCTCATTCTCCCTCTGCAGTTAAAATAATTTATATTCAATATACTTTTTGTCTAATCAGAAATTGCTCATAGAGTATGACACTGGGAAAGATTTTGTTCTTATAAACTTAATTTTGTGATTACTACAATTTTCTTTAAACCTTTACATGTAGACCACTAGGTATCTCTAGTCTACTCTCAGGTGCCAGGGAACTTTGGATTCCTCTAAAACTGCTGTAAGAGAACAGGGTAGAGCCCGGAAATTTGGTTTCTCAGCAGCCATTTGATGAAGTCCACTCTAAATCTAAGCAGATTCCTCAGATACAGAAAGATGATAAAGCAAATATGTCAAAATGTTAACAATTGGTTACTCTGGTTAAAGAATATATAGGTGTCTGTTGTTATTATTCTTGCAACTTTTCAGTAGATTTGGAATTTCTCAACATATAAGTTGGGGAAAAAATGACTTATCCCCAAGGATGTTAAGAAAATATGCTTGGGTGCTTGGGTGGTGCAGTCAGTTAAATGTCTGACTCTTGGTTTTGGCTCAGGTCGTGATCTCAGGGTCATGAGATCGAGCCCTGTATTGGGCTCTGCGCTCAGTGTGGAGTCTGCTTAAGACTCTCTCTTTCTCTCTCTCTGCCCCCACGCACACACTCTCTCTCAAATACATAAATAAATAAATCTAAAAAAAAGAAAAAATATGCTTGGCATAATCTGCAGTAAATCAGCTAAAATGTTGGAAGCTTCTAAAGAAACACAATGATAGAAGCCTGATTCTTCAGAGGAATCTTTCCAACAGCATTGGAAAAGCTCAACTATTTGCTGCTACCATCAGCTCATTATGCCCACTAAGCCATGGGTACCAGAGGTGAAGCATGAGAGGATGAGTTAGAGGAAGTTTAATATATCCAGGAAACTGGATCCATGGTTGTGGGAGATGCTACCTAAAGACCAGGAATGGTGACTCACTAGCCAGCCTTACTCATGACTTCACTGCTGCTATCACTCACTGGTCTGAATCTCAATATGGACCTCCAGAATCATGGAATCCAATTATGTTCATCTTATATCATCAGTCATCTTCAGAAGTGGCCATGGGCATCTGTCCTATAGTGGAAATACCCAAAGATAAGGACTTTGGAGACATCTTGGGTCAAGAGAGAATAGTCTTCTTTTCTTTTTGTTTTTGTTTTTAATTGAGATATAATTGACATATAACATTATATTAGTTTCAGGTTATATAGGTTCTGATAGCAATTTCAATTTGTGAGGCGGGACTAGGAGCCATTCTCTACACCAACAAGCAATTCTAGGGACACTAGCTGAGTGTTCTACAATTCAACTCAAATCTAACACTATCTATTGGGAGATAGCATCAGATGCCACAGGTTGAGGGTTCAATCCTACAAGACCCTGCCTCTCAACATACACACTTCAGACACCAGTCCTAAGCCCCAGGTTGTTACCTGTGTTTCTGACTGGGGATAAATCAAAGGTTCCCAAGCCCCTCTCCTCCAGTTCAATTAATTTGCTAGAGCAGCTCACAGAACTCCGAGAAACATCTTACTTACTAGGTTACCAGTATATTATAAAAGGATATAACTCAGGAATATCCAGACAGAGGAGATGCATAAGGCAAGCTATGGGAAAAGGGCACGGAGATTCCATGCTAAGTGTGTCGCTCTCCCACCATGTCCCTGTGTTGGCCTACCCGGAAGCTCTCTGAACCCTGTCTTTTTGGGTTTTTATTAATGTTTCATTACATAGACATAATTGATTAAATCATCAATCACTGGAGATTGATTCAACCTCCTTCCGTTCTCTCCTCCCCTTCCTGTTGAACTTAAAGTTCCAACCCTCTAATCACAAGGTGGGTTCCTCTAACAATGAGCCCCCACCATTAGGTGTGGTTCAAAGTCACCTCATTAACATAACAAAAGACACATTGTGCCATTCATCAGGCAGGAAATTCCTAGGGTGCCAAAAACAGAGAGGAAGACGGAATATATATTTATTATAAAATCACAATTATCACACAGGTGCACAATATAACGATTTGATATTTGTGTATATTGCAAAATGATCACCACAATAAGTCTAGTTAATATCTATCACCTCACATAGTTACAATTTTTTTCTTGTGATTTGAAATTTTAAGATCTACTCTCTTAGCAACTTTCAAATAAATAATACAGTATTATTGACTACAGTCACCATGCTGTACACTACATCCCCATGACTTACTTAGTATGTAACGGGAAGTTTGTACTTTTTAAACACCTTCACATATTTCACCCAGGCCCTCATCACCGGCTTCCAGCAACCACTGGTCTGTTCCCTATATCTGACTTCAGGTTTGTTTTGTTTTGTTTAGATTCCACATATAAGTGAGATCCTATGGTATTTGTATTTCTCTGCCTTATTTTATCTAGCATAATGCCCTCAGGCACACGAGTAGTTTTCTAACAGAACAAATCAGTTGGACTCCAGGGAAGCCCAGTGGGAGCCCACAGTAGTCAGTGAGGCCCAGATTTTACACGCGGACTGCAGGAAACAATAGCAGCAAATAAACTAAAGTACAAGTGGGAGACTATTTAGGCAGCAAGTGTCAAACAGGCTTCAAACAGTAAGTTCCGCACATCAAAGAACTTACAGTCCTTTACATCTCTTAAACCAGCAGCCACCTCCCTGATCATCCTAGTTTGGGTGAGTCCTCTAGTGTGGCAAGATGCTAAGCCTGACCACAAGAACTCTATTATAGTCCAGGGTCCATATTTTATGAAATAGGGGCCAATGAACAATTTAGAAATTGAATCATCGTGCAAAATGCATCTACAAATGAAAAAATGGAGGACACTGATACTAATAGTGCTTTTGCCAGTCATCAACAATTATATGGCTGCAAATATAGGTAGGTACCCTAAAATGATGAGTACCAGATGAGTCAGATTTTAGACAGAGGTTACGTAAAACACCAATCCTATAAGGAGACAAAGTGCTCTCTTACGGCTCTGAAATTACTCATCTACCAGGATTTCCAGGTATACCAGGGAGGGCAGGGGACAGAACAGGACATTATGTCCTTCATCAGGAAAGCATGTTCCCATGTGGGATTTCCCATGGTCCTGCTAATTCTTGGTGTGAATCAAATAGCAGAGCTTGCCTTAAGGCTCTCTATCTCTCTCTTTTTCTGTTTGTCTCTCTCTCTCAGGCGATACAGTAAACTCAAAAGTCTGGCTAACAAAGAGAATGTCTACATGTTCCTTGTAACATGGAACAAAATGATATGGCAGGCTATCAAGTGTGGGAGGAAATCAAGTCCTCAGCAGCTTGTTGTCATTTTAGATAACAACTCAAGACGAGAATCTGTCAAAGACAAAAGGGAAGCAATAAACAAGTGTGGGCTCAAATTCTCCCAGAATGTGGTAAATTTAAAAATGTAAGGAGGTGGGGGTGCCTGGGTAGCTCAGTGGGTTAAGCGTCTGACTCTTGGTTTCAGCTCAGATCATGATCTCAGGGTCATGAGATCAAGCCCCACGTCAGTCTGGCCCTGTGCTCAGTGGGGAGTCTGCTTGAGATTCTTGCTTCCCCTTCTCCTCCTCCCCCCGATACACTCCCC